AACAAAAGCGAAACTCCGGCTCAAAGAAAGAAAGAAAGAGACTGTTGCTGTGTCGCCCAGGTTAGAGTGCACTGGCATGATCTCAGCTCACTGCAGCCTCCGCCTCCCATGTTCAAGCGATTCTTGTGCCTCAGCCTCCCGAGTAGCTGAAACTATGGGTGCCCGCCATCATGCCCAGCTAATTTTTGTATTTTTAGTACAGACTGGGTTTCACCACGTTGACCAGGCTAGTCTCGAACTCCTGACCTCAAGTGATCCACCCGCCTCAGCCTCCCAAAGTGCTGGGATTACAGGCATGAGCCAATATGCCCGGATGTTTATAATATTTTCTACCCTAAGCCATAGTAGATGAACCAGTGGAAGTGATAATAGCCTTATAATTGAGGATGGGAATTCATGTGGGTTTTATCTGTAACAGGAGTTCTTTTTTTTTTTTTTTTTTTTAATAATCAGGGCCTCCCTCTGTTGCCCAGGCTGGAGTACAATGGTGCAATCATAGCTCACTTCAGTCTTAAGCTCCTGGGCTCAAGAGATCTTCCCGACTTAGCCTCCTGAGTACCTGGGACTGCAGGCATGCACCACTATAGCCCGCAACTTTTTAAATTTTTTGTAGAGACAGGGTCTCACTAGGTTGCCCAGGTTGGTCTCAAACCCCTGGCCTCAAGTGATCCTCCTGCCTCCGCCTCCCAAAGTGCTGGGATTACAGGTATGAGCCAATGTATCTGGCTTTAATAAGATTTTCTTTTCTTTCTTTCTTTCTTTCTTTCTTTCTTTCTTTCTTTCTTTCTTTCTTTCTTTCTTTCTTTCTTTTCTTTTCTTTCTTTTCTTTCTTTCTTTCTATTTTTTTTTTTTTTGTATTTTTAGTAGAAACAGGGTTTCACTATGTTGGCCAGGCTGGTCTCGAACTCCTGACCTCAAATGATCTGCCTTGGTCTCCCAAAGTGCTGGGATTATAGGCATGAGCCACCACGCCCAGCCAAGGGACAAAAACCTTTTCGCAGAAAAATATTTTTATACAACTTAACCAGAAAGCTTCATTTCAGGTTCAGGAAGTGGAAGGGGCAAAACGCTGGATTTTCACAAATTTCCAAAATGGGCTTATATAACTCTCCACCCTTTTCTTTTTCTTTTAGAGACAGTGTCTCACTCTGTTGCTCAGGCTGAAGTGCAGTGGTGCGATTATAGCTCACTGTGACCTTGAACTCCTGGGCTCAAGGGACCCTCCCATCTCGGCCTCTTAAAGTGTTGGGATTACAGGTGTCTGCCATTGCTCTTGGTTCGCCACCAACCCTTTTCATTCTGATCATTTCTCTAGTGAGCTGCGTAGAAGAAATAATGCCTTTTGAGGGACAGTTGCATTTAACAGACAGCCTTACTAAGGCGAGTACATCAGGACAAAGATGCAGGAAGGACAATCAGGCTATTAGTCTGTTGTTGCAAATTGCAACAAATCAAGAAAGTCAGACACTGATCAACTGCAGTGAAACAGTTGGTGGGTGATTTTGAGAGTCCAATCTGCAGGAGTGGGTGGAAGGATCACAGTCCCTGTTATGTATCCTCTCTCGGCTTGTTGCTTTGGGCAGGAATCACAAGTTAGGAAGGAAGCAGCACCAGAAATGCAGAACTAGCCGGGCTCAGTAGCTCACGCCTGTAATCCCAACACTTTGGGAGGCCAAGGCAGGAGGATCACCTGAGGCCAAGAGTTCGAGGCCAGCCTCGCCAACATGGCAAATCCCTGTCTCTGCTAAAAAATACAAAAATTAGCTGGATGTGGTGGTGCACGCCTGTAGTCTTAACTACTTGGGAAGCTGAGGTGGGAGAATCACTTGAACCTGGGAGGCGGAGGTTGCAGTGAGCCAAGATCACACCATTGCACTCCAGCCTGGGCAACATTGCAAGACTGTCTTTAAAAAAAAAATACATATATATATATATATCTGGGTCTGGTGGCTCACGCCTATAATCCCAGCACTTTGTGAGGCCAAGGCGGGCAGATCACCTGAGGTCGGGAATTCAAGACCAGCCTGACCAACATGGTGAGACCCCATCTCTACTAAAAATACAAAATTAGCCAGGCGTGGTGGCGCATGCCTGTAATCCCTGCTACTTGGGAGGCTGAGATAGGAGAATCGATCGAACCTGGGAGGTGGAGGTTGTAGTGAGCCAAGATCACGCCATCGCACTCCAGCCTGGGCAACAAGAGCAAGACTCCGTCTCAAAAAAAAGAAAAAGAAAAAGAAATGCAGAGCTGAAGAGCAGTCCAATGTAAATGGTCCCATCAGAGAGGAACTCTCTCATCATGGACATCTGCAAGTGACCCAGACTGTCCAGCTGCATCCACGATGTTTGCACAGCGTATGTATGGCCCCAGGAAGGGATGTCTCTAATCTGCCAGGGTCCTAGTGTTAAAGTCCTGTCTTACCCAGTTTTTTAGTTCATGCTGAGACTGAAACAGCTCACAGCAGACAGCATCAGGTTTCAGCCTCAGCCTCAGCCTCCCGAGTAGCTGGGACTACAGGCGCCCGCCACCGCGCCCGGCTAGTTTTTTTGTATTTTTTAGTAGAGACGGGGTTTCACCGTGCTAGCCAGGATGGTCTCGATCTCCTGACCTCGTGATCCACCCGTCTCGGCCTCCCAAAGTGCTGGGATTACAGGCTTGAGCCACTGCGCCCGGCCTTTTCCTCTTTTTTTAAGACAGGGTCTCGCTCTGTCACCCAGGCTGGAGTGCAGTGGTGCCATCATAACTCACTGCAGCCTCGACCTCTTGGACTCAAGCAACTGTCCCATTGCAGAGCTTTCAGTTTGGGGTCAGGTTTGGGCAACTAGAATTTGTGAATTCAGGATTTTCTTCTGCGGTAGCTAAGAAGCCAAGAGGCTGTGTGTCTCGAGGCTAAGAGCGAAGCGAGGCTTTCTTAAGCCCTTTAAGTCTGTCAGTTTCAGAGCCCAGGTGGACTCCCGTAAAAAGATCCCCATCAGCTAGAAAATCATGACTCTAAGGGTCAGCTGTGTGGTTTCACAAGCGCTCATTAGCAACTAAAAACTGCCTTTTTAAAACCCTGAAAGTGTGTCTCCATTTAGAGATTGCCTCTTTTTCATGTTTTTTTTTTCCCAGAAGTTCTAATATTAGCAAACACTATAGTAAGAACCATCAGTTACTGAGACTTGTTCCATTTTACTTATTTATTTATGTATTTATTTAGCGATGGGGTCTCACTCTGTTGCCCAGCCTGGAGTGCAGTGGCACAATCTCGCATTGCAACCTCCGTCTCCTGAGTTCAAGCAATTCTCCTGCCTCAGCCTCCCAAATAGCTGGGACTACAGGTGCGTGCCACCATGCCCAGCTCATTTTTGTATTTTTAGTAGAGACGGTGTTTCACCATAATGGTCAGGCTGGTCTCGAACTCCTGACCTCAAGTGATCTGCCCACCTCAGCCTCCTAAAGTGCTAGGATTACAGGCGTGAACCACTGCACCCAGCCTAATTTTTGTATCTTTAGTAGAGATGGGGTTTCATCATATTGGCCGGGCTGGTCTTGGACACCTAATCTCAAGTGATCCTCCTGCCTTGGCCTCCCAAAGTGCTGGGATTACAGGTGTGAGCCACTGGGCCCTGCCTTATTTATTTTTGATACAAGTTCTCACCCTGTTCCCCAGGCTGGAGTGCAGTGGCATGATCATAGCTCACTGCAGCCTTGAACTCCTGGACTCAAGTGATCCTCCCACCTCAGCCTCCTGAGTGGCTGGGGGCTACAGGTGCTCACCACCAGGCCCAGCTCAGTGAATGCTTTTCTGCACACTAGGATATTGTCAAGGATGGGTCCTATGAACCCATCTGATCAGTGAGCTTCTTGAGCAAGGCCTCTGGAATCCACCTCTGCATGGTTGGGCATAAAGAACAGAGATAGTCACACCCTGTCACCGAGCCCAGCTCGAACAGGGAGCATCGGGAAGGGGACTCCAGATACCGGGCTCTGCAGGCTCCCCTCCTTGCTCTCTGCCCACACATGGGAATGGCATCTAGGGGTGCACCCAGCATGGGACTGAGACCCACAGTGTTGGGGACAGAGTTCCTACCTCTGCCCCGCTGAGCCAGATGCCTACCAACCTTTGCACCCCACTACTGTTGATGACACATTTCCTTGAGTCAGTAAACATTGGCCTTTGTGCTTAGGATATAAGCCAGGGCAGGGTCCAGGAGTGGGGGTTTGAGCTGGCCACAGCAATCAAAGGGACAAGATGTTCCTGCTGGCCTGGAGGGGGTAGGCGGGCTACACAGAGCTCTTCTCCTCCATGGGAACCTTCTGGGCCTGTGAGCTCCACCCTGGGCCACCTCCACTCAAGTTTTTCCAGTTGGAAATGTATTTATTTATTATTACTACTATTTGAGATGGAGTCTCCCTCTGTCACCCAGGCTGGAGGGCAGTGGGGTGATCCCCGCTCACTGCAATCTCTGCCTCCTGGGTTCAAGTGATCCTCCTGCCTCAGCCCCCTGAGTAGCTGGGACTACAGATGTGCACCACCACGTCCAGCTACTTTTTGTATTTTTAGTAGAGATGAGGTTTTACCATGTTGCCAGGCTAGTCTCAAACTCCTGGCCTCAAGTGATCCTCCCGCCTTGGCCTCCCAAAGTGCTGCGATTACAGGCGTGAGCCACTGTGCCTGGCCCCAGTTGGAAATTTAGACTCAAGGAGCTGAGGTGGACACTGGGGGCCCACTGGGCAGGCCCAGGACAGGCAGAATAAGGAGATGGGAACACCTCGCCTGCCTTCTGAATGGCCCAGAAAATAGAGAAAAGGAGGGAGAAGTGCTCTGCACTGGTGCAATGAGATCCAACTTCAGAATCAAATAGGCCAGAGTTTGGGGCTCTGCTCTTACCAGTTCCATGACCTAGGAGACATGTGTTCACCTCTCCAGGCCTCAGTTTCCCCATCTGATGGGGATATCAATATCTCCCATTTGTATAGAGGGCAATCTAGCAATTTAAAATGTGGGTGCTGGCGTTAGAATAGCCTGGTTCACGGTCCAGTTCTTCCCTGCCGTTTGCTAACCACATGGCCTAGGAATGTTCTCAGCTGTCCGGATGAATTATAACCAACACTGAGAGAGAGTGTCCTGTGTGCCAGGTCCTATTCCAAAGAGCATGCTTATCTCCTTTAATCCCCACCACACTATTCTTGCTCCTGTTTTACAAATGAGGCTCGGAGGGATATGGTGATTTTCCCAAGTCACACCATATGTAGCAGAGCCAGGATGCAAACCTTCTCCTACCGTGCCTCTAACAGCTATGGAATACAGCACTTTCATCCTGAAGAGAAACCACATACTTGCTTTGCAAACAGGACATCGGGGCCAGTCTCCAAATTCCCCCTCAAATTTCCTCTAGGCAAGAGTTCTGGAGCCACCACTGCACTCCAGCCGACCTTGGCTTCTGAGCTTTGGATTCTGGGCGGTAATGGTCACGGTCCCAGTGTCCTGGAAAAGCTTGCCCTTGGCTTCTGGCCCTGACTCTGCCTCCCACTGACTAGTGGACGTCACTCCCCCTTTCTGGGCCTGGCAACACCATCCTGTTCAATGAGGCTTCGGCTGGATCAGAGGCCCCCAGGCCCGGAACCTTCCAGGGCTGGGCTCAGCTCCCTACCCCATCCCCCAAGTATGCCAGGAGGCCTGGGCGGGACCTGCTTGGGGTTAAATACTCCAGCCCAGCACTCCCCAGGCTGCTAGTCCCAGTCTTCGCAGCAGGAAGTTTGACTAAGATCAATCATGGTAAGTGCCATGACTATCTCCCCTTGTGTGGGACATCTTCAGTAACACTTCCAGAAGCACCTTGTGTTGGAGCCTACAAGTCTCACTGTCCTTCTCTTTCTCCTTAGACGACTTACAGTGACAAAGGGGCAAAGGTAAGCAGGGGACATGTGGGAAATGTAGCGCCGGGGTCTGGAAGGGGGTTGGAGTGCAGGGAGACTGGGGGTTATCAGCAGAAGAGGAAGGACTGGAGTGGATGTGTGACATGCATGCCTGCACACTCAGCTTTACCCCTGGGGCTCCCCCAGACTAAGCTGGACTCAAGCTCACCCTCCTAACAAACTTGTATCCTGGCTAGGCAGGGTGGCTCACACCTGTAATCCCAGTGCTTTGGGAGGCCAAGGCAGGCGAATACTTGAGGTCAGGAGTTCGAGACCAGCCTGGTCAACATGAGGAAACCCCTGTCTCTACTAAAAATACAATAATATAGCCGGGCGTGGTAGCGCAACCCTGTAATCCCAGCTACTCGGGAGACTGAGGTGGAGGGATCACTTGAACCTGAGGATCGCTTGAACCCAGGAGGCGGAGGTTGCAGTGAGCCGAGATTGCACCACGGCACTCCAGTTCAGCCTGGGCAACAGAGCAAAACTTCATCTCAAAAACAAAAACAAAACTTGTACCCCTTCTTAAATGACTGCCAATCTCTTAATCCCATTTGGAAGTTCTTTCTAAGGTCTAACTTAAATCCATATTGCTGCAACATAAGGCTATTTCCCTGTGTGAAACCACGGCAGGCCTCCTGAGGGGGCTTCCCCATCCAAGACACCCGGGAGCTCAACTTCCACATGAAAAACCTCTTTTGAGGCTTGGCAAGGCTGCATGAGGTTCCACTGCTCCTGAGTTCTGTGGTTGAGGCTGGGATAAGGAGGGTGGTTAGGGGACGTTACTCTACTCGCACTTTTCTAGACTCACTTTCAGGGACTCAACCTCACCTCTTCTCTCCTTCTGCAGCCTGAGAGAGGCCGATTCCTCCACTTCCACTCTGTGACCTTCTGGGTTGGCAATGCCAAGCAGGTAGAAGCCGGGGCAAGGTACTGGAGTGAGCAGAGAGGAGGGCAGAGGGCCACGTGACAAGGGCAGGCCTCCAGCAGGTCTGTGATTGGCCCTTGGGAGGGAGGATCAGGCCAGGGTTGGGCCAGATGCTCTGAATCCTAATTACACCAGCTCGAAAGTTATCTGTCAGCAAAATGTGCAGGCAGCAGTCTTTCTTCCCAGGAGGGTCTCTGCACCTGAGGCAACAGGGCCAGCAGGCTGAGGGGGGCCAGGGGCTCTCTTCCGGAAGTCCCCCAGGCTGGCCCCTTGACCCTCATGAACCCTGCTGCAACCCTGTGATTCAGGCCGTGTCATTCTACTGCAGCAAGATGGGCTTTGAACCTCTAGCCTACAGGGGCCTGGAGACCGGTTCCCGGGAGGTGGTCAGCCATGTAATCAAACAAGGGAAGGTGAGTTGCCACCCCTAGGACAGCCCCCAACCCCTGCCTGGCCAACATGGTGAAACTCCATCTCTACTAAAAATACAAAAATTAGCTGGGCATGATGGTGGCCGCCTGTAATCCCAGCTACTCGGGAGGCTGAGGCAGGCAAATCGCTTGAACCCAGGAGGCAGAGCTTACAGTGAGCCAACATCGTGCCACTGCACTCCAGCCTGGGCGACAGAGCAAGACTCCATCTCAAAAACAAAACCAATACCAAAAACAAACAAACAAAAAACCCCAACAACAGCAGCAAAAAACATATAATTCAGCTCCCACCGACCCCCCTGCTGGCACCTTTGTACAGCCATGCAACAGGGTCCCTCCTAGTTTCATTTCCTCCTCAGCCTGGCCCAACACTGACCCCACAGGTGCTCAGAAAACCTGGGCTATCACAGGAGGAATTTTAAGTAGTGCCTTGACTGATGGGGTCCCTGGAGTTCTCTCCCCAAGAGAGACCTGACCTGGCAGCTCCTCTGAGGATCCAGAGGGGGTCTGGCATGGCTGCAAGCCCCATCCCTCAGGACCAGCGTGGGAAACTAAGGCAGAGAAGGAGCTAGAACCCAGGTCCAGGAGTCCTTTTGCTCCATCAGGGGTGTCTTGGGTCGGCAGGGAGGGGCTGATGGGTGCACCTCCCCATGCCCCCCTTAACCACTAGCCACACCCCCTTCTCCTTGTGTTTTAGATTGTGTTTGTCCTCTCCTCAGCACTCAACCCCTGGAACAAAGGTGAGGTGCCCGGGGAGGGTGGACTTGTGGCTCTGTGGGTGGGGTCCGGGTTTGGGGAGGGTAGATGCATGGCTCCACGGGTGGGTTCTGGGTTCAGGGCCTGGATGGAGACTGAAAGCCAGGTGAGGGGACCTAGACTCCAGTGCCATCCCCTCCCTGCCGGCCATAGAGATGGGGGATCACCTGGCGAAACACGGCGATGGAGTGAAGGACATTGCGTTTGAGGTGGAAGATTGTGACTACATCGTGCAGGTGAGAAAGCACCTGGACACACTGGGAGATGAAGGCCTCCGTCTGCCATGGGGACCCCATTGGTCAGGGCTGGAAGGACACTGCTGCATCACAGTGACAAGCCCGGATGCTGGTGTGACACACACCTGGGCTCGGGGGGTGCCCTGTCCTCTCTCCTGTGTGTCCTCTCTTTCTCTGAGCCTCAGTTTCCACAGCTGCCAGATGGGGCTGACCACAGCTGGGTTGTCAAAGGAGGAAATTCGATCAGAATCACCATTTCCTTTTTTTTTTTTTTTTTTTTTTATGAGACGGAGTTTTGCTCTTGTTGCCCAGGCTGCAGTGCAATGGCATGATCTTGGTTCACCGCAACCTCCGCCACCCGGATTCAAGCAATTCTCCTGCCTCAGCCTCCTGAGTAGCTAGGATTACAGGCATGTGCCACCACGCCCAGCTAATTATGTATTTTTAGTAGAGACAGGATTTCTCCATGTTGGTCAGGCTGGTCATTTCCTTTTTTTTTTCTTTTTTCTTTTTCTTTTTCTTTTTCTTTTTTTGCGTCAGAGTCTTGCTCTGTCACCCAGGCCAGAGAGCAGTGGTGCGATCTTGGCTCACTGCAACCTCCACCTCCTGGATTCAAGTGATTTTCCTGCCTCAGCCTCCCCAGTAGCTGGGATTACAGGCGCGCGCCTCCACGCCCAGCTAATTTTTGTATTTTTAGTCGAGATGGAGTTTCGCCATATTGGCCAGGCTGGTATTGAACTCCTGACCTCAAGTGATCTGCCCACCTTGGCCTCCTAAAGTGCTAGGATTACAGGCGTGAGCCATTTTGCCTGGCCTCAGAATTACCATTTCTTGAGCACAACTCTAAACCAAATACTGTACCCAAGAGGCAGCCTAGAGATTCAGAGTGTGCATTCCAGAGCCAGGCTGTCCAGGTCTGAATCTTAGCTGTGTGACTTCAGGCAAGTGACTTAATGTCTCTGTGCTTCAACGTCCTCACCTAGAGAATGGAGATGATAATACTACTTTTTCATAACATTGCTGCGAGGATGAACAAGGTTAGAATCTGGAACAGAGCCTGGTGCATGATATAAGCACTGTCAGGCAGTACAGTTTTGCTAAATAAATGCATGAATCATCTTCTTATTCTCATCCAACCATTCTTTTACAGATGGTGAAACTGAGGACTAGAGAGGGGGAATGATCACAGCGGGAGTTAGCAGAGGCAGGACAGACACCCATCCCTACCTAGTTTGTCTCCCATAGCCCCAACTCTGGGCCTGGGCCTCAGTTTCCCTACTTGCCAAACGAGCATGAGTATTGGGGGTAATGAGTGAAGCTGCCTGGGGTTCCTACCTGGGGCTGGAGAAACTGGAGGGGCCTGCAGGACCACACAGAGGCCTCCTGGCAGGAGCAGCAGGCGAGGGTTCTGGAAGTCTCCGGCCCTCACCACTTCCCCAATCCCATCTTCTCTGCAGAAAGCACGGGAACGGGGCGCCAAAATCGTGCGTGAGCCCTGGGTAGAGCAAGACAAGTTTGGGAAGGTGAAGTTTGCTGTGCTGCAGACGGTGAGTTGCCTTTGGTGGCCCCACCCCTCCTGCTGTCGGCACCACTGAGATGCCAGGAGCCCCACAGCTGACTCCATCAAACCATCCCACCCATGGGCCTCGGAGCACAGACATTGTCCCTCAAGTCTATCCCTCATAATGCCTGGCCCAGTGTACAGGGGCTGCAGGAGCCACCAGCCACTCCTCCCAGGCTTCCCTTCCTCCCAGGGTGGGAGGATGACAGCAAGGGGGTGAAGGCAGGGGCTCTGAAGAAGGGAGAAGGATGGGGTCTGAGGACATGAGATCCCACACGAGCTGTGTGACGTTGGGCATATTACTGTACCTCTCTATGACTCTGTTTAAATGAGCAAGGACTGGAACTGGAACGCTTATGTGATCTGGGACATGCGCTCAACTTTCCTGTGCCTCCATAGGATCTTTTTTTGTTTTCCTCAATTTTTTTTTTTTTTTTTAAAGACGGAGCCTCGCTCTGTCACCCAGGCTGGAGTGCAGTGGCGTGATCTCGGCTCACTGCAACTTCCACCTCCCAGGTTCAAGCGATTCTCCTGCCTCAGTCTCCCGAGTAGCTGGGACCACAGGTGCCTGCCACCATGCCCGGCTAATTTTTTCTTTTTTGTATTTTTAGTAGAGACGGGGTTTCACCGTCTTAGCCAGGATGGTCTCAATCTCCTGACCTGGTGATCCGCCTGCCTCAGCGTCCCAAAGTGCTGGGATTACAGGCATGAACCACTGCGCCTGGCCTTTTTTTTTTTTTTTTCCGAATTCTTTTTTCAGATGGAGTCTCACTCTGTTGCCCAGGCTGGAGTGCAGTCACGTGATCTCAGCTCACTGCACTGCCCTCTGTCTCCTGGGCTCAAGTGATTCTCCTGTCTCAGCCTCCCGGGGATTACAGGCGTCTGCCACCATGCCAGGCTAATTTTTGTGTTTTTAGTAAACACAGGGTTTCGCCATGTTGTCCAGACTGGTCTCAAACTCTTGACTTCAAGTGATCCTCCTGCCTCAGCCTCCCAAAGTGCTGGGATTACAGGCATGAGCCACCATGCCAGGCTGTTTTCTTTGATTTTTTTTTTTTTTTTTTTTTTTTTTTTGAGACAGAGTCTCACTCTGTCGGGAGTGCAGTGTCACGATCTTGGCTCACTGCAAGCACCCACTGCCTTCAGGGTTCACACCATTCTCCTGCATCTGCCTCCTGAGCAGCTGGGACTACAGGTGCCTGCCACCATGCCCGGCTAATTTTTTGTATTTTTAGTAGAGGTTTCACCGTTTTGGCCAGGATGGTCTCAATCTCCTGACCTCGTGATCCACCCACCTTGGCCTCCCAAAGTGCTGGGATTATAGGTGTGAGCCACCGCGCCCAGCCTCTTCAACTTTTATTATAGGTTCTGGGGTACATGTGCTGGATGTTCAGGTTTGTTACATAGGTAAACGTGTGCATGGTGGTTTGCTACACAGATCATCCCATCACCTGGGTATTAAGCCCAGCATCCATTAGCTACTCTTCTTGGTGTGCTCCCTCCCCAACCTCCTGCCTCTGACAGGCCCTAGTGTCTGTTGTTCCCATGATGTGTCCATGTTTTCTCATTGCTTAGCTCCCACTTCTAAGTGAGAACATGCAGTGTTTGGTTTTCTGTTCCTGTGTTAGTTTGCTGAGGATAACGGTTTGAAGCTCCACCCATGTCCCTGCAAAGGACATGATCTCGTTCCTTTTCATGGCTACAAACCTCAGTATCTTCAGCTATGACTCCTCATAGGGTCATCATAAGGATCCAAGGAGCCACCGTGCCAGGCTGTTTTCTTTAATTTTTTTCTTTTTTTTGGGTGCAGTGGCTCACACCCATAATCCCAGCACTGTAGGAGGCTGAGGTGGGCGAATCTCTTGAGGTCAGGAGTTAGCCTGGCTGACATGGTGAAACCCCACCTCTACTAAAAAAAAAATACAAAAATTAGCCAGCCGTGGTGGTGTGCACCTGTAGTCCCAGCCACTTGGGAGGCTGAGGTGGGAGAATTGCTTGAACCCAGGAGGCAGAGGTTGCAGTGAGCCGAGATTGCACTGCTGCACTCCAGCCTGGGTGACAGAATAACACTCTGTCTCAAAGAAAAAAAAAAAAGGATCCAATGAGGTCGTTTGTGTATAGCACTTAGAACAGTGCCTAGCACGTTAGACACTCAGCAAAGACGACCAATTCTGTTTAGCACCTGTGTTTCCTTTTTTTTTGAGACGGACTCTCGCTCTGTCGCCCAGGCTGGAGTGCAGTGGTGCAATCTCGGCTCACTGCAAGCTCCACCTCCCGGGTGCATGCCATTCTCCTGCCTCAGCCTCCCAAGCAGCTGAGACTACAGGCGCCCGCCACCATGCCCGGATAATTTTTGTATTTGTAGTAGAGATGGGGTTTCACCGTGTTGGCCAGGATGGTCTCGATCTCTGGACCTCGTGATCTGCCTGCCTCGGCCTCCCAAAGTGCTGGGATTACAGGTGTGAGCCACCACGCCTGGCCAGCACCTGTGTTACTGTAGTACAGAGACAATTGTAGCTCTTACCTCCTCCAGATTAAATTCAACATAAAGGGCTAGGCACAGTGGCTCACACCTATAATCCCAGCAGTTTGGGAGACTGAGGCAGGAGGATCACTTGAGGCCAGGAGTTCAAGACCAGCCTGGGCAAGATAGGGAGACCCTATCTCTACAAAAATTAAAAATACAAATAAAAAATAAATAGGCCAGGTGCAGTGGCTCACACCTGTAATCTCAGCAATTTGGGAGGCCAAGGCAGGAGGACTGCTTGAGCCCAAGAATTTGAAACCAGCCTGGACAACAAAGTGAGACCCCATCTCTACAAAAAATTAAAAATTGGCCAGGCATGATGGAGCATGCCTGTGGTCCCAGCTACATGGGAGGCTGAGGTGGGAGGATTGCTTGAGTCCAGGAGATGCAGGCTGCAGTGAGCCATGATCACACCACTGCACTCCAGCCTGGTTGACAGTGAGACTCTGTCTCAAAAATAAATAAATAAAAATTTTTTTTAAAAAGTTAAAAATTAAATTAAACATAAAAATGGTTAAAGTATGCCTGTAATCCCAGCACTTTGTGAGGCTGAGGCAGGTGGATCACCTGAGGTCAGGAGTTTGAGACCAGCCTGGCCAATGTGTCAAAACCCTGTCTCTACTAAATTTACAAAAATTAGCTGGGCATGGCAGGCGCCTGTAATCCCAGCTACTTGGGAGGCTGAGGCAGAAGAACCACTTGAAGCCAGGAGACAGAGGTTGCGGTGAGCCAAGGTTGTGCCCTGTACTCCAGCCTGGGCGACAGAGCAAGACTCCGTCTCAAATAAACAAATAAAAATAAATAAAAATAAAAAAGTTAAAAAAATTAAACATAAAAATGGTTAGAGTGTGCCTGTAATCCCAGCACTTTGGGAGGCCAAGGTGAGTGGATCACTTGAGGTCAGGAGTTCAAGAACAGCCTGGCCAACATGATAAAACCCCATCTCTAGTAAAACAACACTAAAAGTAGCCAGGTGTGGGGCTGGGCGCAGTGGCTCACGCCTGTAATCACAGCACTTTGGGAGGCTGACGTGGGCAGATCACCTGAGGTTGGGAGTTCGAGACCAGCCTGACCAACATGGAGAAACCCCGTCTCTACTAAAAATACAAAGTTAGCTGGACGTGGTGGCACATGCCTGTAATCCCAGCTACTTGGGAGGCTGAGGCAGAAGAATCACTTGAACCCGGGAGGCGGAGGTTGCGGTGAGCCAAGATCGCACCATTGCACTCTAGCCTGGGCAACAAGAGCAGAACTCTGTCTAAAAAAAAAAAAAATTAGCCGGGTGTGGTGGCACATGCTTGTAGTCCCAGCTATTTGGGAGGCTGAGGCAGGAGAATCTCTTGAACCCAGGAGGAGGAGGCTGCAGTGAGCCAAGATCATACCACTGCACTCTAGCCTGTGCAATAAGCAAGACTCCGTCTCAAAAAAAAAGCCTGGGTGCAGTGGCTCACGCCTGTAATCCCAGCACTTCGGGAGGTTGAGGTGGGCCTGGCATGGTGGTGCACGCCTATAATCCCAGCTACTCAGGAGGCTGAGGCAGGAGCATCACTTGAACCTGGGAGATGGAGGTTGCAGTGAGCTGAGATCATGCCAAGGCACTCCAGCCTGAGTGACAGAGCGAGACTCTGCCTTAAAAAACAAACAAACAAACAAACAAAAAAAAACAAAAAAAAAAGATGGCTAAAGTGACTGACAGAGCTCTTCAGTATAATATTTTTGTTTTTTTGTTTTTCGAGACAGAGTCTCACTCTGTCGCCCAGGCTGGAGTGCAGTGGCGTGATCTCCGCTCACTGCAAGCTCCGCCTCCCGGGTTCACACCATTCTCCTGTCTCAGCCTCCTGAGTAACTGGGACTACAGGCACCCGCCACCACGCTCGGCTAATTTTTTGTATTTTTAGTAGAGATGGGGTTTCATCGTGTTTACCAGGATGGTCTCGATCTCCTGACCTCGTGATCCACCCGCCTCCACCTCCCAAAGTGCTGGGATTACAGGCGTGAGCCACTGCGCCCGGCCACTCTTCAGTATAATTTAATCCAGTGCCCTCCTGTGTTCTTCATCTAGTTGACCTACTGAAATAAATGAAGTAGGTGCTTCATTGAGCACCTCCCCTGTGCCAGGCACTGAGCTTGGTGCTGGGTACACCACGATGAGCAAAACAGTGTCCCTGCCCTCACAGAAACTCTCAAACAAGTGACAGATTGCAGTTTCTTTCAGAAAGGAGAAGTGACTTGCCCAGGATCACGCATCTGGTTAGGGTCAGATACGGGTTGGAACCCAGGGCTACGTTAGCGCTATGAAGTGTGCTCTGTCCTCGGCGGGGATGGGTGCCCAGGGGCCGAGCCAGGCTGTTTTCCACCCGTAGTATGGGGACACCACACACACCCTGGTGGAGAAGATGAACTACACCGGCCAATTCTTGCCTGGATATGAGGCCCCAGTGTTCATGGACCCCCTACTTCCTAAACTGTGAGTGTCTCTGGGGGCAGAGGTGGGTGGAAAGCCCTGAAGTACTGTGAAAAGTAATGCCCCTTCCTCCATGTCCACTGTGCATGTGTGTTGGGGCAGAATGGAGCCCACTAGGAAATGCCTGGAAGTCCTTGGGGGTGCTTGAAGAGGTGGCATAGAGGCTGAGACCATGGCCTCTGCAACCAAACTTTCCCGGGTTCAAATCCCAGCTCTGTTACTTCACAGCCATTTCGCCCTGGGCAAGTCGCTTCGTCTCTCTAGACCTCAGTTTCTTCATCTGTAAAATGGGGACTGTAATAGTATACGAGTTGACAAAATAAAATGTCCAGCCCATAGTAAATGCTACATAAGTGTGAGGCTGGGTGCGGTGGCTCACACGTGTAATCCCAGCACTTTGGGAGTCTGAAGCAGGAGGTTCACTTGAGCTCCAGAGTTTTAGACCAACCTGGGCAACAAAAGAGTCTGTCTTTGTGTAGAGACTCCATCTCTACCAAAAAATAAAACTCCGAAAACAGAAGTGTGAGCTATTACTATTACTGAGGGGTCATGGAGAAGGGAGCAATCTGGGGGGTAGCCACCTTCTCACCCCCATTTTCTTCCCTTCCCAGGCCCAAATGCAGTCTTGAGATTATCGACCACATTGTGGGAAACCAGCCTGATCAGGAGATGGTGTCCGCCTCCGAATGGTGAGACCCTGGCCCTCTCCCTCTGCATGAAGATGACAGGTCCCCATGGTGGACTGGCCCACTCCCTGGTCCTTGCAGTAAAGTGGAAAATACAACTGGGTGCAGTGGCTCACAACTGTAATCCCAGCATTCTAGGAAGCCGAGGTGGGAGGAGCACTTGAGGTTGGGAGTTCAACACCAGCCTGACCAATATGGAGAAACCCCCGTCTCCACTAAAAATACAAAAACTCGGTGGGCGAGGTGGTCGGCGCCTGTAATTCCAGCTACTCAAGAGGCTGAGGCAGGAGAATCGCTTGAACCCTGGAGGTGGAGGTTGGGCAACAGAGCGAGACTCCACCCTGGGTAACAGAGAAAGACTCTGTCTCCAAAAAATAAATGAATAAAATAAAATAGACCGGGCACAGTGGCTCACGCCTGTAATTCCAGCACTTTGGGAGGCAGAGGCGGGTGGATCACCTGAGGTCAGGAGTTCAAGACCAGCCTGACCAACATGGCGAAACCCCATCTCTACTAAAAATACAAAAATTAGCTGGATGTGGCGATGTGTGCCTGTAGTCCCAGCTACTTGGGAAGCTGAGACAGGAGAATTGCTTGAACCAGGGAGGTGGAGGTTGCAGTGAGCTGAGATTACACCACTGCACTCCAGCCTGGGTGAGAGAGCGAGACTTTATCTAAACATAAATAATAATACTAATAATAAAATAAAGTAAAATAAAATGGAAGTGGAAAATACAGCACAAAACGATGGGAGTTAGCCTGAGGCCACTGATGCGTTTATTCACTATAATACTGTCAACATGGAGACCGGTGGACTTGAGGCCCAAAGCAACCCACAGGCCCTCCCTCTGAGGAACCCTGGGGGCATCACAGTCCATGGAGGCTTGGAGGAAGACTGCCACAACCCAGAGGAAAAAGCAAGGGCCTTTTTCTCAAAACACTTTACTTCCAGCTGTGGGAGCCTTGCCATCCTGTATGTATTTCGTTCCAAGACACTTCCACTTGAAGGAAAACTGTCATCATAAAGGCACAAATCTAGGCTGGGCATGGTGGCCCATATTTGGAATCATAGCACTTTGGAGGCCCAGGTAGGCGCATGGCTTGAACCCAGGAGTTCAAGACTAGCCTGGGCAACATAGTGAGACCCCATCTCTACAAAAAATATGGCTGGGCATAGTGGCTCATGCCTGTAATCCCAGCTACTTGGGAGGCTGAGGCAGGAGAATCGCTTGGAACCAGGAGGTGGCAGTTGCAGCGAGCCAAGATTGCGTCATTGCATTCCAGCCTGGGTGACAAGAGCGAAACTCTGTCTCAAAAAACAAAAAATAAAAATACCCAAAAATTATCCAGGTGTGGTGGCACATGCCTGTAGTCTCAGCTACTTGGGAAGCTGAGGTGGGAGGAGGAATTGAGCCTGGAGGTTGAGGCTGTAGTGAGCCGAGATTACACCACTGCACTCCAGCCTGGGCAACAGAGTGAGACTTTGTCTCGAGCAACAACAACAACAGAAAGATCTAAATCTCTGATGGGTATGGTGGCAGTGGCATCTCCTTTCTGGAGCCTGCTCAGGGACAGATTCTGGAAGGTGGAAATGGGGTGATGGAGGCCGTCCCTGGAGGTGCTCAGAGCAGATGTGTCCCACCGCCCACCCTACAGGTACCTGAAAAACCTGCAGTTCCACCGCTTCTGGTCTGTGGATGACACGCAGGTGCACACAGAATATAGCTCTCTGCGATCCATTGTGGTGGCTAACTATGAAGAGTCCATCAAGATGCCCATCAATGAGCCAGCGCCTGGCAAGAAGAAGTCCCAGATTCAGGTGAGGCTGCCCCTGGCTGGGAGAAAGGGGAGCAGGGAAGAGGTCTGGGGGCTCTTGCAGGGTCAGGGATGTGGGTGACGGTGCAAATGACAGTGGTCTCCTTGTTTCCCTCCCCCAGGAATATGTGGACTACAACGGGGGCGCTGGGGTCCAGCACATCGCCCTCAACACCCAGGACATCATCACAGCGGTTAGAACCCCCTTCCCCATCCGAATTCCTCTCTCATTCAGAGCCAGGGATGGTCTCTGCAAAATCGAGAGAGGAGTGGCGGCAGTCCTGGGCCCACTTCTCTGGGCTGGGAGACTGACAGACGCCCTCACTGCTTCCTGCAACTCATGGGCAGGCACAGCCCCACCCACCCCAGAGAGTTCAGTCTCCACAGAACCCCTGGGCTTTGGAAGTGGCAGGTGCCAGGGTATCAGGAAGCCTGGGTGATGGTCCCAGTTCTGCCAGTGGCTTGCTCTGTGTCTCTGGGAGATTCAGTGCTGTCTATGGACTTTAGTTGCCTTACCTTAAAAATGAGGAAATCAGGGCTGGGGACAGTGGCTCATGCCTGTAATCCCAGCACTTTGGGAGGCCAAGGCAGGGGGATCACCTGAGGTCAGGAGTTTGAGACCAGCCTGGCCAACATGGTGAAACCCCGTCTCTATTAAAAATATAAAAATTATGTGGGCGTGGTGGCAGGCGCCTGTAATCTCAGCTTCTCGGGAGGCTGAGGCAGGAGAATCACTTGAACTTGGGAGGTAGAGGTTGCAGTGAGCGAAGGTGGCACCACTGCACCCCAGCCTGGGTGACAAGAGTGAAACTCCACTTCAGAAAGAAAAATAATAATAAATAAAGGAAATTAGGACCGGGCACAGTGGCTCATGCCTGTAGTCCCAACTACACAGGAGGCCAAAGCAGAAGGATTATTTGAGCCCAGAAGTTAGAGGTCAGCCTGGCAAAATAATGGGACCCTGTCTCCGCAAACAGTAAACAAAATTAACCAGGCTTGGTGGCTCATGCCTGTAGTCCTAGCTACTTGGGAGGCTGAAGCAGGAGGATCCATTTAGCCAAGGATTTCAAGGCTGCAGAGAGCTATGATTGAGTCACTTTACTGCAGCCTAGGTGACAGAGAGTGAGGCCCTATCTTCCCACAACCCCAAAAAAAGAATTTTTTTTTTTAAAGAGGAAATTAGGGGGTTAGGCATGGTGGCTCATGCCTGTAATCCCAGCACTTTGGGAAGCCAAGGCTGGCAGATCACTTGAGGTCAGGAGTTTAAGACCAGCCTGGCTAACGGGGTGAAACCCCATCTCTACTAAAAATACAAGAATTAGCTTGTTGTGGTGGTGCATGCCTGTAATCCCAGCTACTCGGGAGGCTGAGGCGGGAAAATCACTTGAACCCAGGAGGTGGAGGTTACAGTGAGCCAAGATCGTACCATTGCACTCCAGCTAGGCAACTCAGAGAGACTGCTTCTCAAAAAAAAAAAAAAAAAAAGGAGGAAATTAGGCTACAAGATTGATTTTGTCCTTTCAGCCAGATTAAATGTTCTGCATCTGTAGATCCAGACAGATGGAGCATGGGGAGGCTGGGTCCTACCCCTTCCTTAAGTGACACTATGGCAGAGTGGACAAGAGCCTGGACTGTGCCAACCGAGTTCACTGCATGACCTTAGCAACTTCATTCATTCATTCACTCAACAGATGTTTATTGAGCATCTACTATATGCCAGGCACTATCTTAGGTACTTAGGATACATCCGCGAATAACAGTTTCTGCCCTTGTGGAGCAATAAACAAAATAAGTAAAATATAAATGCTAGATGGTAGAGAGCACCCAGGAAGAAAATAAAGCAGGGAATTGGGACACCAAGGGTGAAGGGCATTGCACATTTAAATTGGGGGGTCAGGCGCTTTGGGAGGCTGAGGTGGGAGGACTGCTTGAGCTCAGAAGTTCGAGACCAACCTGGGCAACACAGTAAGACCTCATCTTTACAAAAAATCAAAAAATTAGCCAGGTGTGGTGGTGCACACCTGTGGTTCTAGTTATTCAGAAGGCTGAAGTAGGAGGATCACCTGAGCCTGGGGAGGTTGAGGTTGCAGTGAGCTATGATCATGCCACTGCACTCCAGCCTGGGTGACAGAACAAGATCCTGTCTCTCAAGTATATATACATATATATACACACACACATACATATATATACACACACACACACATATACACACACACACACACACACACACACACATATATATATCTTTTTTTTTTTTTTTTTACGAAGAATCCTTCTTTCACCTACACGGGCGGGGGGGCGGTGGCGGGATTTTGGCTCCCTGCAAGCTCCGCTTTCTGAGTTCAAGCAATTCTCCTCCCTCAGCCTCCTGAGTAGCTGGGACTACAGTTGCATGACACCACGTCTGGATAACTTTTTTTGGTATTTGTATTTGTATTTTTAATTTTATTTATTTATTTATTTATTTTTTTGAGACAGAGTCGCCCAGGCTGGAGTGCAGTGGCGTGATCTCGGCTCACTGCAAGCTCTGCCTCCTGGGTTCACGCCATTCTCCTGCCTCAGCCTCCTGAGTAGCTGGGACTACAGGCACCCACCACCACGCCGGACTAATTTTTTTTTTGTATTTTTAGTAGAGATGGGGTTTCACTGTGTTAGCCCAATGGTCTCGATCTCCTAACCTCATGATCTGCCCATCTTGGCCTCCCAAAGTGCTGGGATTACAGGCGTGAGCAGCACGTCCGGCCTTCTTTTTTGTATTTTTAGTAGAGATAGGGTTTTACCATGTTGGTCAGGCTGGTCTCCAACTCCTGATCTCAAGTAAACTGCCCGCCTCGGCTTCCGAAAATGCTGGGCTTACAGGCATGAGCCACCGCACCTGGCCTAATAGATCCTTAATCTTTTGATGCCTCAGTTTCCCCAGCTATGAAATGAGAGAATAGACCTCCAGCTGCCTCAAAAGATTGCTGCATGGACATAATGAGGGAATATGTAGAAAGTGCTCAGGCTGGGCGCAGTGGCTCACACCTGTAATCCCACCACTTTGGGAGGCCGAGGTGGGTGGATCACGTGAAGTCAGGAATTCAAGACACACCTGGCCAACATGGTGAAACCCCATCTCTACTAAAAATACATAGCTGAGAGTGATGGCGGGCACCTGTAATCCCAGCTACTCGGGAGGCAAGGGCAGGAGAATCGCCTGAACTCAGAAGGCAGAGGTTGCAGTGAGCTACGATCGTGCCACTGCACTCCAGCCTGGGCAACAGAGACTCCATCTCAAAAAAAAAAAAGTGCTCTAGGCAGGCACATGGTGAGTGTTCTATAAATCTAGCAGTTGTTCTAACGGGGCCCATGACAGAAGAAAGGGGAAGAGGCCACACGGCATCCTGGCAGTTGAGGGGAGCTAGGATAGGGACCCTGCCTCCTGAGGACCCAGCACCTCCACCTGGCTAAGGGAGTTGAACTTGGAGGCCGAAGGCTGACCTCAACTTTGCTCTGAAACAGATTCGCCACTTGAGAGAGAGAGGCATGGAGTTCTTATCTGTTCCCTCCACGTACTACAAACAACTGCGGGAGAAGCTGAAGACGGCCAAGATCAAGGTGAAGGAGAACATTGATGTCCTGGAGGTGAGACCCAGGCAGGATCCGCAGCCTTATGGGGAGTACGACCCCTGCGTTCCATCTTTTCAGAAATACCGTCTCAGCCCGGAGGGGAGCCCAGACCAAGTCCCTGCGGGCAAGGGACATTTATTCTGGGGCATATGTGGAAGGAGGAGACAGATGACAAACAAATAAACAATAAAAGCACTGTCAGAGATAGCCAGTGCAGGAAGTTCAAACAGACGGCCTGGGGCTACTTTACAGAGAGTGGTCAGGGAGGGCCTCTCTGAGAAGGTGACATTTGAGTGAAGTCTAGATCATGAGCGGGAGCTGACCACGTAAATAGCGGGAAGAAGGGCATTCATTCCTGGCCAAGGGATCAGCAAGGGCCGAGGGAGGAGCAAGCCCCGAGCGTCTGAGGAACAGAATGAATAGGCTAGAGTGGATGAGTAGTTTTGAGTGGTGACTTAGGTCAGACAGGTACACAAGAGCAAGTTCCTCATGTGAGCTGTTATTCAGGAGTCTGGATTTTGTTCTTTTGTGGCCAGAAACCAATGGAGGGTTTTTTGGTTTGGTTTTAGTAGTGTTATTGACATACGCCACATAACATGTCATATTTTTAAGGTGTACAATTCTATGATTTTTAGCTATTTGCTATGTTGTGCAACTATCATCAAAATCCATTTTAGGACTGGGTGTGGCGGTTCATGCTTGTAATCCCAGTACTTTGGGAGGACGAGACGGGTGGATCCCAAGGTCAGGAGTTCAAGACCAGCCTGACCAACATGGTGAAACCCTGTCTCTACTAAAAATACAAAAATTAGCCAGGCATGGTGGCACGCACCTGTAATCCTAGCTACTCAGGAGGCTGAGGCAGGAGAATTGCTTGAACTCGGGAGGTGGAGGTTGCAGTGAGCTGAGATCATGCCACTGCACTATAGTCTGGACGACAGAGCGAGACTTCATCGCAAAAAAAAAAAAGAAGATCCATTGTAGGACTGAGTGTGGTCATTCATGCCTGTAATCCCAGCACTTTGGGAGGCCAAGGCAGGTGGATCACTTGAGGTCAGGAGTTTGAGACCAGCCTGGTCAATATGGCGAAACCTGGGTGTCTACAAAAAGAAAAAAAAATTAGCTGGGCGTGGTGATCTGTGTCTGTGGTCCCAGCTACAGGGGAGGCTGAAGTGGGAGAATCACTTCAACCCAGGAGGTAAAGGCTACAGTGAGCCATGATCAGGCCATTGCACTCCAGCCTGGGCGATACCCTGTCTAAAAGAAAAACAAAAACAGTTAGGCCAGTCACAGTGGCTCACATCTATAATCCTAGCATTTTCAGAGGTTGAGGTGAGAAGATTGCTCGAGGCTAGGAGTTTAAGACCAGCCTGAGCAACATAGGGAGACCCTGTCTCTACAAAAAAACAGTTTTAAAAAATTAGCTAGGCATGGTGGTTTGTGCCTGTAGTCCCAGCTACTCAGGAGGCTGGGGTGAAAGAATCACTTGAGGCCAGGATGTCAAAGCTGCAGTGAGCCATGATCAGGCTACTGCATTCCAGCCTGGGCAAAAAATCAATTTTAGAACATTTTTGTCACCCCAGAAGAAATCTTGAGTCTCTCAGTCAGCACCTCCCAACCCTTCTGTTCCCTTCCCCCCTCCCACCCTGGCCCTAGGCATCATTAATCTACCTTCAGTCTCTATAGATTTGCCTATTCTGGACATTTCATTAAAAGGAATCACAAAGGTTGGGCACGATGGCTCACGCCTGTAATCCCAGCACTTTGGGAGGCCGAGGCGGGCAGATCATGAGGTCAGGAGTTCAAGATCAGCCTGGCCAACAGTAGAAACTCTGTCTCTACTAAAAATACAAAAATTAGCCAGGAGTGGTAGCAGGCACCTGTAATCCCAGCTACTGGGGAGCCTGAGGTAGGAGAATTGCTTGAACCCAGGGAGGGAGAGGTTGCAGTGAGCCAAGATCACGCCATTTCACTGGAGCCCGGGGGAAAGAGAAAAAATCCCTCTCGAAAAAAAAAAAAAAAAAAAAGGAATCACAAAATAGGCCTGTTGTGAACAGCTTCTTTCCCATAGCATGTGTTCAAGGTTCATCTGCATTGGAGTGTGTGTCAGTGCTTCGTTCCTTTTTGTGACTGAAAAATCTCCCATTGTATAGATAGACCACACATTGTTTATGTATTCCTCGTCGATAGATATTTGGGTTGTTTCCACTTTTGGGGTGTTATACATAATGCTACTGTGAACATCTGTGAACAAGGCTCTGTATGGACATGTTTTCAATGCACTTTGGTATATACCTAGGAGTAGCTAGGTCACATGGTAATTCCTTGTTCCTTTTGTTTGTTTAGAGAGAGTCTTGCTTTGTTTCCCAGGCTGGGGTGCAGTGGTGCAATCTTGGCTCACTGCAAACTCCAGCCTCCTGGGTTCAAGCAATTCTCCTGCCTCAGCCTCCCTAGTAGCTGGGATTATAGGCACTCACCACCACGCCCAGCTAATTTTTTTTTTTTTTTTTTTTTTAACAGAGTCTTGCTCTGTTTCCCAGGCTGGAGTGCAGTGGCTGATCTTGGCTCACTGCAACCTCCACCTCCCGGGTTCAAGCGATTCTCCTGCCTCAACCTCCTAAGTAGCTGAGATCACAGATATGTGCCACCATGCCCAGCTAATTTTTTTTTGTATTTTTAGTAGAGACAGGGTTTCATCATGTTGACCAGGCTGGTCTCAAACTCCTGACCTCGGGTGATTCACTCGCCTCAGCCTCCCAGAGTGCTGGGATTACAGGCGTGAGCCACCTTGCCCAGGCTAATTTTTGTATTTTTTTTTTTGTAGAGACTGGGTTTCCCTATGTTGGCCAGACTGGTCTCAAACTGAGCTCGGGTGATCCACTTGCCTCAGCCTCCCAAAGTGCTGTGATTACAGGCATGAGCCACCATGCCCAGCCACCCTTTTTTTTTTTTTTTAATCTGTATTTTAAGGAAGCAACACTGTATGTTTAACTTTCTGAGAAGTTACCAAACTGTTTTCCAAAGTGGTTGCACCATTTTACAGTCCCACCAGCAGTACATGAGGGTTCCGATTTCCACTGGAGGAAATTTTTTTTTTTTTTTTTTTTTGAGACGGAGTCTCGCTCTGTCTCCCGGGCTGGAGTGCAGTGGCCGGATCTCAGCTCACTGCAAGCTCCGCCTCCTGGGTTCACGCCATTCTCCTGCCTCAGCCTCCCGAGTAGCTGGGACTACAGGCGCCCGCCACCTCGCCCGGCTAGTTTTTTTGTAGTTTTAGTAGAGACGGGGTTTCACTGTGTTAGCCAGGATGGTCTCGATCTTCTGACCTCGTGATCCGCCCGTCTCGGCCTCCCAAAGTGCTGGGATTACAGGCTTGAGCCACCGCGCCCGGCCCCCCACTGGAGGATTTTAAACAGGGGAATGACATGATCCGATTTTTAAAAGACCCCTCAGCCGGTCATGGTGGCTCACGCCTGTAGTCCCAACACTTTGGGAGGCCGAGGTGGGTGGATCACCTGAGGTCAGGAGTTTGAGACCAACCTGACCAATATGGTGAAACCCCGTCTTACAAAAATACAAAAATTAGTCGGGCATGGTAGCCTGCGCCTGTAGTCCCAGCTACTCGGGAGGCTGAGACAGGAGAATCGCTTGAACCAGGAAGGTGGAGGTTTCAGTGAGCTGAGATTGCGCCACTGCACTCCAGCGTGGGTAACAGAGCAAGGCTCCGTCTGAAAAAAAAAAGTGGGGGGTGTCCTGATAATGTCTGCGGGGAGGATGGATTGTGAGGATACAAGATTAGAAGCAGGCAGCAGTCTTGAATGGTGCCTTAGGAACTGTAGTAGGGGAATGGTAATAGGACAGTTTGGGGATATATTTGGAGGTGGCTGGAACTGCCAGAAAAAGAGGTCATTTCCAGACTTTTGGGGTGGAGCCCCTGAGGACTTTCCAAGGATCTCACCGTGCCAGGACAGAGCGCGGGCCAGCCTCCCCTAGCAGAGACCCCTGTCTCCCGCCTAGGAGCTGAAAATCCTGGTGGACTACGACGAGAAAGGCTACCTGCTGCAGATCTTCACCAAACCGGTGCAGGACCGGCCCACGCTCTTCCTGGAAGTCATCCAGCGCCACAACCACCAGGTACCGCTTGTCCCCGGCAGGCCCGAGGGGACAGGCAGCTAGCACACTCGGTTTTCTGGGTCCCTGGCTCATCTCTTCTCTTTCCCGCCCCAGGGTTTTGGAGCCGGCAACTTCAACTCACTTTTCAAGGCTTTCGAGGAGGAGCAGAACCTGCGGGGCAACCTCTCCGACTTGGAGACCAATGGGGTGGTGCCCGGCATGTAAGCCCCGCCCACCGCCCGCCCCACGGAGGCCCCGCCCACCCGCAGACATAGCCACGCCCTCTGATTCTGGAACTCGCCCAACTTCCCTACTGGCTGCTCCCCTTGGGTCCCGCCCACCAGTAGACTCGGCCCCCAAGGCTCCGCCCACCATGACCACACCCCTCGGCGGGCCGCCCTCTGCTACAGCCCTCCGGATTAAAGCATGCCCGGGTCCAATGCGGTGTCTGTGTTTATGTCGCGCGTAAGGCAGTAGTGCTTCTTGGCAGCCCAGGGAAGGCCAGGGCGGCCGCCAGCGCGGCAGCCAGCGCAGCGGGACCGAGGAGCCGCGGGTGCCAGCGCTTTGCCAAGAGGGATCGCGCTGAGAGGGGAATTCCGGAACCAGGGAAGGAAGGGGACTTGCACTCTGGAGGGAAAGACGGATGACACTGCTTTTGTAGAGAGGTAAACGCAATTCATAAAATAAAGCAAGCGATGAGCCGGGCGTGGTGGCTCACACCTATAATTTCAGCGCTTTGGGAGGCCATGGTGGGAGGATCGCTTGAGGCCAGGAGTTCGAGCCCAGTAACATAGCAAGACTCCGCCACCCCCCCGTGTCTACACGAATAAAAAATAAAAATTAGCTGGGCGTGGTGGCGCGCACCTGTGGTCCCAGCTACTCAGGAGGCTGAGGTGGGAGGATCGATTGATGGACAGAGGTCGAGGCTGCAGTGAGCCCTGATCGTGACACTGCACTCCAGCCTAGGCAAGAGTGAGACCCTGTCTCAAAAAAAAAAAAAAAAAAGAAAAAAAAAGGCAGTTCATGAGATTATGTGGAGGTGAAGATCGCAGGGGAGGTAATTTTTATCAAGGGAAGACCTCTCCGAGAAGGTGACATTTGGGAGCCAGCCATGGGACCATGCTCGGGAAGAGGATTCCAGGAAGAGTAAACAGGGAAAGGCCCTGAGGTGGGGTGAGAGTTTTTCAGCATCTTGTCTGCTGGCTTGATGATCTCTTTTTTTGTTTGTTTTTTGAGAGGGAGTCTTGCTCTGTCCCCCAAGCTGGAGTGCAGTGGCGCGATCTCGGCTCACTGCAAGCTCCGCCTCC